TTTAACCCAACAGTTGGGTTAGTCCATATTTGACCCAACATTGGGTTGAAACAACTCAGCATTTTTTAGAGTGTATGAGACAATCATTTAAGCTTATCAACTGAAGATACATATTTGACAGCTTTTTTCTCTGGATACACACCCATGGCAGACCAGTTACTGACACTTTTGTCCGATGGCCTGTAAATGAATTTGCGTAGAGATGTGACGGCATTAGAGCCGACTAGTGTGTAACGACCAAACGCCCGGCAGTCCACCACGCGGATGTTCAGAGGAGGATGGAGGAGCTCGTTCTCAGGCAGGTCCTGGTGAAAAATCATGAACATTTTCCAATGTCTGTAGTACAATCAACATCATTTTGAAAATGTCTCATACTTTCTGAGATATAAATGTGCAAAAGCCTCACCACTTCAAACCACTTCACCAGAGTGCTGAAGTTGGGGTTTTTCTTGTAGTTCTGAATTAGCGCTGACTGAATGCTTTTCCCTGCACACTCGATGTCCACGCGGGGGCGGTCTACTTGAGCCAGATTCACCCGCTTCAAGTCCCTCAGGCCCCAGAAGAGAACCTGCATGAATGTTTTGTTAATTTAATGTGATGCAAAGTTTTTTTTATATATATATATAATAGCTGTACAGGGGTGAACTCTGGCATACAGGGGCATCATGCACCTAGTATTGTTGATGGGGCACCAGTGACAGTTCTGACACTTCTTCATAAGACTGTGAGTCATGATATTTAGTCTGGTGCAATTTCGAAGTATGCATAAGGGCTGGGTTAAAATCCTGATATCATATACATTTTTATAATAAACCAAGCAAACCTGCATCAGTTCAGGCTACCACATATTCGATAGCTTATAGAAACAAATTAATTTAAACCATCAGCATGGACATCCATTGCTGCACTCTATCTCTGTATCTGGAAACACATTTAGTGAATAAGAAGCTGTTCTCTATAGTCTTTCAGAGCAATGTGCCACACAGTTTCTCTAGTGCACACAGAGTTTGAAGTTTTTACAAAAACCTGACATTAAAATGTATATATAATGCCTATCTCATTTAACGCTAAAACTCTTTAGTTGTGTTGCGTTGACAAATAAATATTTTATAACATTTTGGACCAATTTCGACAACTTTGGGGAGCTGTTAAATTGTTACTTATCAAATATAAAAATATGATATTTTTATTAAAAATATTTATTTTTGTTTTTAGAAGTTCCATTTATTTGACTCAAATGGAGGTTGAATAAGCAAGACACCTGTGATTACCTATTTATTATTATTAATTCTTTTTTTTTTTTTTGGTCAGAAGTGTGCTCTCTTATGATAACTGTACACCTCTCTGCAATACCATTTTAAAATGTACAAGAAATGTGAAAATAATATTAAAAAGCATTGGGTGAGGGGATTACCATTTTGGTTCCCCAAAGAACCTTTCAGTCAACAGTTCTTATAACAACCAGTTTTTCTTAGTGTGAAGAACATTTTGATAATCTGAAGAGCCTTTTTCCACTATAAAGAACCTTTTGTAAAATGGAGATGTCCATGGATGTTAAAGGATCTTCATGACATCATTGCTGGCAATAAAGAACCACAATTTTTAAGATTGTAGATCAGATTCTGGGTCGGCCCTGTAGCTGTTCTACTAAGAGCAACTCACCTCAATTCGGTATTTACTCAAGACAGGTCTTATGCCAATAGGAACAGGCAGGATTGGACCACGATCGATATCTGAAGGTCCATCTATTGGGGGCAGGTCGGCCTTTCCAGCTGGTCCAATCTGAAAGATTTCCACAATACAGAAGTATATATACATGCACAAACACAGACTAAGACTTAAACAGTTTCTTGTTCCTGTCAGATGCACCTGCAGCAGCTCAAAGGCCGCCAGCATTTCTCCTGCAGTGCCGTTTCCCCGGTAGATCTGGTAGTACTCCAGTTGAGGAGGGAAGCGTGGCGGCCCATAATGCTCATCTGACATCTTGGTTATAGGTTTAGCGAATGTCCTACCCATGAAATCGGCTTTTCCCTTGAGAAGTAGAATGAGATTAACCACATTTATGGAGGTGAAAGCATGAAAAGCAGAAGGAAATGAATAATTTGCAGGATATCAGCACTCACGACAGTGTCCTGATCATAGATCTCGATGACGATTATAGGAGGATCATCCCTCAGTTCACCAGCCTCACCATAGAGCTCCACATTATCAAACACCAGCAGCTGATCCCATGTAGGACACAACGTCTCATTCAGGACCTGAGAGGAAATAATCAGCTTATTACACCTTCCTTCTAACTTCTTTATGCAGTAGGTTTGATGTGGATATCTCAAACAGCTCAAGCAGTAAAGCAGCACCAAACGATGTTTTCTCAGTAAATATTTTAGTTCAAGCCCATCAAGTGCTATTGTATGTTCAATGCTATGAGAAGACACGTTTCTCTTGGCTGGTTGTGAACTGATGGTGCTGACAAAAAGGGTTCTGGGTTTTGCACCGTTAGAATTGAATTGAGAATCTAAATTCCATTTCAATTCCTGAAAATGAAATGAATTTGAGTTGATGTAAAAATGAAGTAGAAATGTAATTCAAATGTCAATTTAAGTATGTAGAATGAATTCATATAATCAATTTCAACTCTTTTACATGTAATTTTTAATCATATTAATTTGATCATATAACATTAAATTATGTTTGATGTAGCAAACAGGATGTGGAATTTAATTGAAATAAATTCTTAAATTAAATGCACATGCATATAAATTCATATAATTCAAATTTAACTGTTTTAATGGTATTTTTGCAAATATTAATTGTATCATATAATATGAAATAATATTAAAATAAAAACAATACTACTAATACATTTTATTTTCAGATTAAATTATCTTTCAACCTCTCATCATACACACACTATATAGGGTATTAATAATTAAATATAAATATATTAATAATCATCATGTTTGAAATGCCACCTATAAATATTCAATGAATTGACTTTCATTAGTTGAAGAATACTCAATTTCACAGAATGCTCTGATTTATTCAATATATAATACGAATGATATATTCATATATAACATGAATACATTCATATTTTTTAGTCTTTAATATCTATTTCAATAAAGTTTATTTTAAATAAATAAATCTAAAGAAATATGGAGAAATATGCTCAAGAAGTATAGCAAGTCTTTCAAATTGGGTTCAGATTTGTTCATATGCAAAATATTCGCTCACAGAGTTCAAATGTCAATAGTAAGTTTGCATGAAGCTTTTATCTCACCTCTGTGACCTGGCTGTGAGTAGAAAAAAATACCCTGGCAAAAGGGTCTGACAGGCCCGTGCTGTCGGCCGCAAACAGACTGCGAGCCTGATACATGTGAACCCTCAGCTGGAAGATCTGCTTCACTGTTAGCATACAATAAAAGAGTTATTATCACTGACTATTACACAGACAATCTGAGGTCACTCATATAAGTTCTTTGGTATCTTACTGGTGTACATCAGGCTGATGGGGGGTGTGGACTGTATGCCAGGCCCTTTTACTGCCTTGTTCTCCTCAAACCCATTTGGTAGGCCGCTCAAGTAGTCCTTACGCTGCCTGTTCAAGCTGAGCCACAGATACAGCTCAGTTTTAGCCTGAACGGTCCAGCCTGCAGGTCCAAAGCTTTTCTTACCAGGGAGCTAAAAAGAGAAGAAAAATAGTAAAAGAAAGTAAATTAGTACTTGCTGTTAAAGTATATCAAGTAGATGTTTAGAAAAGCCAATTAAAGTTATCAAATATTTTTGTTATTCATTTTTTAGGTCATAAATTATTTTTTATGAACCTCTTCAACTTAAAGAGTTTGTTTAATGCTGCTGTGCCTTCACATGTGAAATGAGGCTAGTGGTTGCATCTCTACAGCAGTCACTCATCCATTCACCTCATGAGTTGTATAGTGAGTTCGGGAAGCCCTCTTTAACTGGAAGATCCTTCTACAGCATTCAACTGTTTCGCCGACACAAATAAGTGCTGTGATTCCTCCCTGGGCACTTCAGCATAAAAGAGCAGTTTCTCTAAGAGAGCAACACGGACAAGAGTGTCTTTTTAAAGATGTCTCTTCGTCCATGTGTTTCTGGATGCGGTCGTTTCCTGACCCCCTCTAACGGTCACGATCGTTGATCCATCCATCGTTCATGGACGGTTCATGTCCTCATTGTGAGACCATGACCATGGCAATGCAGAGATCTCGGCTCTCACTTCTTGTGGTGGGGGAAACCCCCTTTGCTGCTACCCAGCGCGGACCGGTTAGCACAGTTAGCACTCAGGGCGATCTTACAACATTTCCGCCAGGCCAGTCCTCACGGACTTCCTACTACTCTTCGATGCTGCTTGCCATCGAACTCCCAAAGGAAATTGCCGCCCAATGGACCACCTATTGGCCCAATGATGGACTCCAACAGTGTGGGTGACGGTACAATGCGTGTTGGTCTTTTATTTGTGCTTCTACAAAGTTCACTTAATTTATTAGGATAGAGTTTCAATTTTATTGTAGCTCTGTGTTTAATCTGACTCCAATCGTTAAGTGATTGTTCAAATTTGACTACATTACTGATTAACAGCTGATCATAAGATTATATGTGGCTGAATTTAGATATTTGATTATTCTGGACAACCTATACTTTCAATTATTTGTTCATTAGGGACCCAGTGCCGCACAGAGTCTCATGCCGGCTGGAGGTCATGGATCTCACAATCATAAACTTGCCAGTTCTGATCTTAGTCAGGGGGTGTAAATTAACTAATACCTTTAAGTTGGCTACAACATGTTTGCTCATACAAAAAGTGTAGTTTTGTTAGTCATGTTACTACAACTTGCTAAGTCAGTGATAGACAGAAATCAAAAGGTCCCACATGGAGTACCACATGCTCCATTCATTGGACCCTCAGTTTGATCTATCCTAGACACAGATTTGAGGTAGCAATAGACTCCACATTATCTACTATGGAGCTTTTCCACTGCATGGTATGGCTCGGCTCGGCACGGATCGGCTCGGCTCGGCTTGGCTCGGCTCAGCTCGGTTTGCGTTTCCACTGCAGTTTAGTACCGCTTCAGAGTGGGGAGAATTATAGACATGTCGTTAAAGTTGCGCCGCCTCTACTGCCGTGACATAATCATAAACGCGACACAAACAAACAAACAACAATGGAGCATATCGATGGAATGGTGCTCTTCATTCTCAGCATGTGGATGTTTTTAACTGCAAGACAGCCATTATTTTGTTGTTTTAAAAAAGGTGTGTTCATTTGAAACTGTTGCGTTCGTTCAAATAAAGTTGCGTTCGATCCTCGCTGGCTGTGCTGATTTAATCTAGCCGGTCTAGTGGTCTCGTGTCGCAAGTCCAATGATGCAGGTAGTAACAATTCTCTCCGGCCAATCAGTGATCAGCAGGGTTTACACGTCACATTTCGGTAACGGTATGGCTCGCTTTGAACCTCAGCCAAGGTGGTACTGAAAAAAGTACTAGGTATCAGGTACTGTACACAGTGGAAACCCCCCAAAAGCGAGCTGTGCCGTGCCGTGCCGTGCCGTACCATGCGGTGGAAAAGCGCCAAAAGTCATAATGATTTCAGGAGAATAAATCGAATATTACATTTTATTTGTCAGGTAAGAATGTATCATCCTAATTGCATAATTAGAATCCAATTCAGAAATGATAAATACATAACATTTATTGCTCAAAGATTAATCTAAGAGTGAGAGATGCATACCTGACAGCAGAGAGATACACAGCATGTGAGTGTCCAGGATGCAGAGCTCCAGAGACTTACATACACTGTGCGGGGGTTTTCTGGTTACAGAATCCCAATGACTTACTTGCCACATTCCCTTAAATACCCAGACCACAAAAAAAAAAGAAATCTTCAAATCTAAGTTGTAAAACAGAAGACCTTTGGTTGGTCAGGATTCCATGACCCAAGAGTCACACCTGATCAGAGATCGTAAAACAATCTCACCAGAGACCCTGTGAAATTGAGACCATTTTACCAATCACACTGAGACATTTAAAATGACACCAAACTTGAAAGGGTAAAAATAATAGATTCGCAAGATAAATCATATATTCTATAAAGACAATCTTTTTTTAGAATTGTAGAATTTAGAATCGTTAATGACTTGAGCCTGGTGGGGGAGAAGAGGGAAAGGGGGAGATGGGTTCATGATTAAGCAAGGGGGGAAATTTGGGCAAGGTGGTATCCTTTGCTCTTTCTTTGAGATCTTCTCTCCAGATTAGTGAGTTTTAATGTTTTATTACAGGGTGTTTGATCTTTTGTTATGTCTTAAAACGAAAACCATCCTTACACGGTGGTCCTAACATTTCATTTGGAGCTCCAGGGGAGGACCAGATATCAATCGCGGCATCAGAGGAGGGGACAGAGTCCACAGGAGTGACATCTTTGGCTCAACCTTGCTAAGATGCAGGACACCAACAAGGTTTGCTTTCTCAATGCCCACATCTCAGTGGCTGGCCTTATCGGTGACACTGAGGACTTTGCCCAGCAATTCCTGGCAGTCCAGAAGCAGACAGAGACCATCAAACACATCTTGCCCCAGCATGGGCTGGCCCCCAGTCTGCTTGATGCCAAGGGCATCCCCCTGCAGTGTCTACATCTGCTCTGGTGCAGCCTGATGTTACACCTAAGCCGCAATGTCAAGCCTCCCACAGGAATGCGACACAGCCTGTCACCCAGGCAGCCCTCCAAGCGGACAGCAAAGCAGTCCAGACACACTCTACACAGTCTGGCAGTGAGCGACGCAATGCTTCCTCACTCTCAGCCTCATCCTCTCCTTTCGAAACAGGCCAAGAGGTCACACCTCAAGGATGCACTGCTTCCTCACGCAGCTCTATCAAGCCCTTCACAGGATCCAGGGAGCAGGGTAAGTGTTACTCCACACTCACCCTCTCTGCTCCGGGATGCATTGCCTCCCTACTTACAGCCCTCACTTCATCGTACCCAAAAAAGGTGGTGGATCACAACTGATCTTGGATCTGCGAGTTTTAATTTTGGCCCTGCACAAGCTCCTGTTCAAGATGTTGACGCAGAAGCACATTCTCACAGGTGTTCAGCCCCAAGACTGGTTTGCTGCAATTGACCTGAAGAATACATACATCCACTTCTCAATCTTGCCTCGACACAGACAGTTTCTTCGGTTTGCTTTCGAGGGTCAGGCATACCAGTACAAAGTCCTCCCCTTCAGGATGTACCAGTCTCCCTGTGTCTTCACCAAAGTTGTATAGGGTGCCCTTGACCCATTAAAGGAAAAGTAGGCATCTATATCCACAACTCTTGATGACTGGCTCATTCTAGCTCACTCTCGAGATCTGTTGTACAAGCACAGTAACCCGGTGCTCTGGCACCTCAGCCAGTTGGGGCTTCAGTGCAAATGGGAGAAGAGCAAGCTCTCCCCTAGTCAGAGCATCTCTTTTCTCAGTATGTAGTTGGACAGCACTTCTCACAAACGAGAATGCCTAGTCAGTGTTGAACTACCTGAATTTATTCAGGGGGAAAACAGCGGTTCTGCTGAAACAATTTCAGAGGCTTCTGGGTCATATGGCATCCACAGCCATGGTAATGCAGCTCGGATTGATGAGTATGAGACCAGTTCAGCACTGGCTACACAGCCGAGTCCCAAGATGGGCATGGCACCATGGCACACTCCGTGTGGCCATCACACAAAGTTGTTGCCAGACTTTCAGCTCCTGGTCAAACCTTACCTTTCTACGGGCAGGAGTGCCCTTAGAACAAGTGTCCAGGCATGTTGTTGTCATAACAGGTGCCTCCAGAACAGGCTAGGGTTCTGTGTGCAATGTGCATGCATCGATGGGCTTCTGGATAGGACCACGACTGCAGTGGCATATAAATTGCCTTGAATTTCTGGCAGTACTGCTGGCCCTGCGCTGGTTTCAACCCTTGCTTCTCCCAGTCCCTGTGCAAGATCAGGGAGGACAATCGTCCTCCGACCGTATCCGAGACGTTCTGCTCCATCCTTTAATAACAGCTTCTTTCATCACATTGTGACTGATTCATAAAGCAATCTGTGCTGAAATGTGCTGTAAAACTGTTCAGATCGGACTGAAATGCCTTTTTCAGTGAATGAATCTTTTTGCAAATAAACTTGATTCAGCCACACTGATACATTCATCACAAGCAGTTTTGGCAGCTTAGTTAAAAAGTTTTGAGTTGTCTTCATAATACATCAAGGAAAATTAAATGATATGGCCCCTTTCAAGGTAAGTATTCTGACATAAAATGTTTTAAGACAGTTTCAGAATTTGCATTCATCCTAACCTTGAAAAAGGTGGTCTGGACTTTCCCACAGTCCTTTCCGGTTTCTTCCTCTACAGAAGAGAAGAGGATGTCTTTGGAGGGAACGCGGGCATATGCAATGCGTTTGTTGTTGCTTATCATCCATATGTAAATATCTGGAACACTATGCTGAGGCTATGATGAAAAAACAAAATAATTTACATGAATACATCTATATGGCCACATAACCAAGCATATTTGTATTTTATCAGGTCTTGTGCACTACCTCATCAGACAAGAATCTCAGCTTGTGGAGGAAGTTTTGTGCCAGTTTTATTTTGTCTTTCACGTTGCTTTTCTTTACTTGGGATCGCATATTCTTTGCTTGCTGGCCCATGTTTTCCTGAAAAAATAACAACAAGCTTTAGCAACAGACACAAAAATAAGCCACCAGAATCAGATTTTAACATTAGTTACTCTTAATATTTGTTAGTAAGAGCTGCTTTTACCAATTCCTGCATGCATAATTTCAGTCTCTCCCGGTCCAGTTTAGTCTTCCCAGTCTGATTCTGATCATTGTTTGCTAAAGTTACAAAGGTACTGAAAGAGATAATAAATCCACTGTTATTTTATCTTTACCCTGTCATAGACGGTTGAATAAAGTTTTGTGAAAATATTGTGCCATTTGTACCTCAAAATTTAATTTTTTTTTCCAATTCATTTAAAAATGTTACTTCTGAATTATCAAGAAATCATGCTTTACTACCCACCATATACATTAACCAGTCAAGTGGTTCTTAGAAAACGCTTACTGCACCGTTTAATCACCACTCATAACTGGCTCAGAATAACATATATAAACCGTATATAAACCTGCAGCCAAAGCTGAGTTCCTCCAGGACTCCTCTGAGTCTGCGCTCAGGATAGGCTTTCTCTGTTTTAATGATCTCCTGTACATCGTTTAACCCTTCTTCCTGTAAAATGATAGAGAACACAAGCTGCAATGTCAACGTATAGATGTATTTTCACAGATTAACTGTAACCAGGATTATTATTGTATACTAAACGAAAAATATGATGTAAATGGAATTTAAGGCAAGACACTACAGGCAAAACCCTTGTTTTTTTTTATCACGCACTAGTCCATTTTGAGATTTTGGGCTAATTTGCTTCCATAACTTGACTTATTTCAGACTAGTGGAAAGAAAGAATCCAAAATAGACACTTTAGTGTTTATTTTTTTGCGCTTGATCTATTTGCATCTGTAGATTTTAATTACAACAATCTCTCTACAAGACATAATACATATATAATAATATTTCTATAATGTCAACAAAATGAAATGAGAATTTGAACCTGGCTTTATCCAATGTTCAGATTTCTGTTCTGGAAATAAATTAGTGCATATTTCATTAGAAAATGTCTCGTTTGCATTTTTAAACATAACATTTCAGAAAAGTTGTAATACAAAACAATTGTCTTAATGTACCGTGTTTCATCAACAGGGGAAGTATGGTGTTATCTGTTAGTTAAAATGTTTACCCTATTCATCTGTATTGTCTTGCCTGAAGATTTATTTATTTAGAGTAAAATGAAATAAAAATGAAATAAATAGTGGTACAAAATGGTTGAAACAAAAATAAGAATGTGTACAGAATGGTAAAAATATACATATTTCAGAAACGAACTAATATAAGCTATATTCATTGATTCATTACCAATTTATCTGCAATTCTGTCCATGATGTTTGCATTATAAAGTCGTCTTCTTTGGTCCTGCCACCAGCTCTTGATAAAAATGCAGGGCTTCCTCTCAAAGTACGGGAGGTGGAAATAGTTTCTGCAGACAAATAAACCGGATATGATACATGAATTTGCACCAAAATGCAAAATAACATAAATAAATGAGTTTTAGGTCAGTACATGTTGAGTAACTCAACCTGTCAGTGATGACTGGCTTCATTGGAGGAGTGCTGGAAACTGAGGTCATATCTCCACCATCATCCACCTCCTCGTCACTAGAGCCGTGAATGAGCTCAGACTCCTCGTCATCGCCACCCTTCCTCTTCTTTGTTTTTGGCTTGGTTGGAGTATCGAGTTCACTGCCATAGTTTCCTTGATTTGAAAGGATAGCTTAATGATGTAGTAGGTGTCTGACACACTTCCCAGAATAATTCATTACTTGCATAAAAGTGAAGTGTGCACTATAAAATATGATTTTTTTTCAAGTTGTAAATAAAAGAAAGATTATTGGATTATGTTTAACCAAAAAATAGTCTTTGAATTGTATTTGTTTAGAGCTGTTTTGGACTGTTTAAACGCTGCTTGATCTGTGCAGATTTCTCTCCTGATTCAGACCAGAACACTTTTTCACTGGAGGAAGTGTTATTATGGATTAGCCTAAAGCAACAGTTTGAAGTTAAAAGCAGATTTGTTTCTTACAAACACACAGCTTTTGTCTTCTCCAGATGTTAACTGATGGACTGGAGTGCTGTGGATTACTTGTGGATTATTGTGATGTTTTTATCAGCTGTTTGGACTCTCATTCTGACGGCACCCATTCACTGCAGAGCATCCATTGCTGAGACACTGATGCAATGCTACATTTCTACAAATCTGTTCCCATGAACAAATAAAAAACTCATCTATATCTCGGATGGCCTGAAGATGAGTACGTTTTCAGCAAACTTTTTATTTTTGGGTCAACTATTCCTTTAAAGCCAGTTAATGGTCCTTGCATGTAAAAATTGGATGAGTTTGAGTTTGAATGAGTTTATATTGAATCAACCTGAACATAAGAAGGTTGACTTGGAGAGATGGCATTTCAAACACTGATTATTAATATCATCTACTGCAACATTTCAGGAGTTAGTCCATATGCCTTGTGTATGATTGATCTAATATTGAACTGGTGTCATTCATATTAAATGTATTATTAAAAAGTACACTCACAGCAGTAACATACATTTCTTTGAAAGTTTAAAAGAATTCAGTAGCATTCTGAATGGTGAGCAACTGGTGACCTCAATTTAAAGGCTGATAACTAGTCTACCATAGATTTTACCTATTGTAACCTCAAAGTTGATGGGTTTGTCTCCAATCTTCCTGTCAATCATAGTGGCCTCAAGGAAACATCCAAAGAGAAAGAACTCCTCAATTTTTCCCGTGGCATTCTAGATATAAGCAACAAACAATTGATTAAATGTTTTGTGAATACACTTTGTTGTAAATAAAACGTTTATTAGAGTATGCTTTACAAGAAAATGCTATTTCAGTCTATCTACGTTAATTAAATTAACATTTAATTTCATTTAAATTTCATGTTTAATCCAGTTGCACTACTTGCCATTTCTTTGTAATTAATTGTGAAATTTACTAGCAATTTCTGAGTGTTTCTTTTTTGTTTTCAGTGTATGGGGTTTTCCTAAGATTAGACAAAACATGATGTCACTGTGCTCATAAACAATTCAAAACAGATTTTTTCTCAAACTGATTAATTTTTAACAGCAAGTCACATGCAGAATGAAGCCTAACTTTGGCTCTGACTGTGTAGATGATTGTCGTGCACACAAAGAACTTCTATGAGTATTACTGATAAATGAATAATGTGCAGAGATAAATAAAGAGAATGAATTATTCACTGTAATTGGCCTGTCGTAATTCACTGTAATTGTATTGAATCCCCCCCCACCCCCGTCTATGGATCGCTTACATCTGAGATGTTGGAAACTCCCTCCACCTGCACCTCAGTGGAGCACATTACTTCAGCAGAGGAGGTATCCAGTATCTCCACGGCCAGACTGATCAGCAGCCGGGCCCTGAACGAAACCCCTTCCCCTAGTCCTTCATTCAGGTCCTGGTACTCGTCCATGAGCGTGTAGCTGCGTGTGGAGCCGTACATGTTGGCCCAAGCTGGCCCAAGAGTCGGAAGAAAGCCTAGCAATAGAAACAGGATCACTTTTTAAATCTTTTACCTTTTGATAATATTTGAAAATGGTTTAATACTGATCTTGAACAGCAATGTAGTGATAGCTTATGTGATTGAGTATCCAGAGCAACATGTGATAAACAACATAAAAGACAAAGGAAATATACTTTCGGTCAAAAGTTTGTAAATAATTAAGAGCTTTTAATGCTTTTGAAGAAGTCTCTTATCCTCAGTAAGGCCATGTAAAAATACAGTAATATTATTACAATTTAAAATAGCTGTTTTCTATTTGAATGTATTGTAAACTGTAATGTATTTCTGTGATGCGCAGCTGTATTTTCAGCATCATTACTCCAGTCTTCAGTGTCACATGATCTTCAGAAATCATTCTAATATGCTGATTTGCTGCTCAAGAAACATTTCTGATTATTATCAATGTTGAAAAGAGTGGTGCTTATTTTTGTGGAAACGGTGATGCACTGGGGTAAGTAAGATTTAATAATAATAATAATAATAATAATAATAAAGCAATCAATCAATCAATAAAGATTAGCAATCAGCAAGGATGCATTAACTTATTAAAAAAGTGACAGTAAAAACATTTACTTTTTTTTGGTACGTTTTCTTTCTTGAATCATGTGACACTGAAGACTGGAGTAATGATGCTGAAAATTCAGCTTTGATCACAGGAATAAATTACATTTTAACACATATTCACATAGAAAACAGTTCTTTTAAATTGTAATAATATTTCACATTTTTACTGTATTTTTGATCAAATAAAATAGGAATAAATTACATTTAACATAGATTCACATAGAAAATAGTTATTTTAAATTGTAATAACATTTCATAATATTACTGTTTTTACTGTATCAAATAAATTGTCGGCAGAATTATTATTCAATTATAATTATTTAATTATTCAGTTATTGGGTGCTTATATTTAATGATTCCAGACTTTTACACGTTAGTGTATTACTTTTGCAGAGGTGTTCAGGAAGCCCTGTTACCTTTGTCTCCATCATTAGCAATCTTCCGCAGGTCAATGAAGTGCGTTCCGATGGCCACATCGTTCACTTTATCTGAATCGCGGATCTGGACTTTCATTCTCCGGCACAGAGGTGGAAACTGCTCTGTGAAAACGATCTGCTCATTCCAGATCGGCTCATAGCTGCTCTTCTGAATTGAAGTTTTTCCCTGCATTGTGGATAGATGACATGGATCAATGGATCAAAAATATTGATGCCTCCCCCTTGTGAAAAAGAAGCTTTTAAACTGACTGCTTTTGCTAACTGTTCTGTGTTTGGCTGCACAGACGAGCACAGAACACTATTTAGAGTCCCAGCCTCAGAGGAGACAAGGCAGCAGTGCATTTATTGATTTATCTAATATTGCTGCTGCCACACAGATCTAAAATAAACATGCGATTTTTCATCCGCTTTCTGTGCGTGTGCTTCAGATGTGTGCACTCAGAAAACCGGATATCAGAAGTTTAAACTCATATGGTTTAAAACGCATGATTTCAGTCTTTGAAGGAATTTAAGTGTGAACTGACTGTAATGTTTTCAGACACTAAACTGCATGCTATTTACAATTAAATTAAAATGAATAATAGTTTAAATGTATGTTAAATGCAATTATCTGAACTTTAGAGTGCTTTTTCTGGCCCAAAGGTAAGATGTAGTTTCATGGTTGTTTTTTGGTTTTGGTTTATGTTCATGTTTTCATGTCTTTTATTTTGTCTTTGTCATAGTGATGGTTCCTGTCATGCGTTGCCCTTGCCCTTATGTAATCCTGCTATTGGTTGTCTTCTTCTTTGACGTTGGCAAACCAGGGCTGCGTTCAGCCCCGACAAAACGGTGCAAAACGTTTTTTAAACGGAAACGGTGTGCTCTTATTATTTCAGTTATTTTGCTTTTAATGTAAATAAACATGTGCAAACAATATACTTGCTCTTGTGAATTTATTTTGATGTTAATTACATTGTGCTAGCTGTCTCTTTAATACCGCTTGGTTTATATACATGTTGCTGCTGATTGGGCTGACATGTTTGACACACCCACCAAACAAGAGAAAACGTATCTCAAACCCCGTTGCACACCGTTTCCAGGAAACATGTCGTTCAACCGTAGCAAAACGTTGCGCACCGGTTCGAGCTTGAACTTGCCCCAGCTTTGGTGCATATTCCGTCACCTACTCGGATGGAGTGTGAGGCTATTGGTTGTCTTGTTAATGTGTCGTGTTCTTATTAGTTGATTTGGTCATGTGGTTCTTAGTTCTGTTTTGTGATTGGTTCATTGTCTTGATTGTTCACAGTTGTTCCTTGTTTAGTCATTTAGTCTTGTGTATAAATAGCCCTCATGTTGCCATTGTTTTCTGTCTAGCTTTGCTGCTTGTAACTACTGTTGGTGAGTTGTGTCCATGTCTATGTTCTTGGTTCATCAAGCCATGCCTGTGTTTATTGTTTATCTGCTCACTCTTGGGATTTAATAAAACTCATCATAACTTGCATGCAGTGGACACTTATTACATGTAAGCTGTAGTTAAACATTTAATATGACAACTGTTTTTCGATAGACCCAAAAATATTGCCATTCTGAATTTAAAATATATAATAGTAATCTTATAAGTAATTTAATGTTATGAGACAACAAACATTTTCAGCATATGATTTAGAGTGAATGTGTATTTAAAAAAAATATTATTTGCAAGTACGGTACTTCAAATGCATTTTTTTTTTTTTAATAAGTTGTCTATCAAGTAGTAAATAATGGTTCATATCTGTGATGTAAACTATAAAATAAGACTGGATGAGGTCTTCAAAATGTCCCACTTAATGACTCAAACTTCCTGTTTCAACAGGAAATACATCAACACAGGAAATGAAACCGTGTTCACCAGCGATTTCATGGTTTTTAACAGAACTGGTCATTCCAGAGTCTTCATTTTTATAGTGCATTATAAAATATTATTCAGTGAACTTTGAATAATGTGTAAAATGTGTTTTGTTTAATGATTACATTTATTTTCCATTAAACTCTATTATATTTTCCAATTTTACTAAATGACCATTAGTGAGAATTCTGCCCACCTTCTGTCCTGCAAATTGCACCTGGACATACGGATCAACCAAGTCCTTATTTTCTCCAATGAAGGCTTTTTTGACGTTTGCCATAATGCTGGTGTTCATTTTGGGCAACCCCTCGGCTCGGTAGATTTTCACATAGTATCTTGCCCATTGACGCTCAGCTGGGACGTCATCTGGCAACAGAAGATTACTGGAACAACAACGAAATCAATAAAGAAGAGAGATGTGTTTCTGCATATAGAATCGCCTTTAAATAATCCATATATTGTTGGATGGAATTATCTGGGTGGTAAAATACTAAACTAGAGTTTCACATTTGAATTAAATACTACAAGTAAATATTTATTTCATAGGGCTGTCAAAATATGCTGGGAACACTTGAGTTTAGAGTTTATGTTCAAGGTAAGGAATAGTAACAGTGATGCTTCCCTTTGCAAATAACACATGTAACATTAACGATGTAGGAAGGGTTTTTGTTTTTTACCCCTCAATGTCATCCTCATCTGTTTCATTTGTTTTGTGTGGAGTTTTCAGAGTGTCGCCCTTTTTAACAACTGCGACGTCACACTTGACATAGCCTTTGCATCCTGCAGTGATGTCATCGGGGTCACATAAAGTGGCCCATTTGTGGAAGAACTGATGTTCTGTAAATGTAAAGAAAAACACATAACTCTAGTCTTTGAGCTCTCTAGTCTAGTCTAGAAACAGAGCTTTATCCACCTTATTTTTAACATAAGAGCGACGCAGGCTTCCGGTGTCAGTTGTTTCTATTTCTTTTACCAGTACAAAAACAATCCATTATGCTGTTTTATATTGCAAACAGGTATTTGTCATATTATAATTTATTATCAGTCATAAACACACTGATTTGTAGCTCAAATATTTTTCTAGTTATTTATCTATAGTGGCTAATGAAGCGTACGTCTTGCACATTCACAGAAAATTGCTTACTTCTGTGTTTTAAAGTAAGGTGGATAGAGAAGCATGATAATACCAGTTACCAGGTTGTGTATAAACTGTGCCCACGTCAAGCTTGAAGCTCCCGACCAGCGTCCCACTTCGCAAAAGATTTTTAGAGTGGATAACCTGTATGGACACATTATTTTAAAACCGTTTAAAAAAAAGCTTAAAGCCGAATGAAAAAACGATCTTTTAGGAATAAGTCCATTTAAAATTGATATTTGATGCTACTTACTGACACTTTCAGGATCTTGTCAAACATGACATCAGGAGGAACGTGGAAGTCAAAAACGAAGTACTAAAAAAAGCGAAAAGTTTATGAAAACATTAAATTAGCAATATTAAAGGAATAGTTCACCCAAAACATGAACATTTGCTGAAAATGTGTTCACCCTCAGGCCATCCAGGATTTTTTCATTAGATTTGGAGAAATGCAGCATTGCATCACTAGGCGCGTTTCCATTACAGATTTGCGCAAAATTTTGGCGATATTTTATAAATGTCGATAAAAAATATTGCGAAATGGCGTTTCCATTAACCAATGTTATGCGACTAAAACGTAACCTTTTGCCTCTCGCGATAAGTCATGGCAGTGGATTTTGGTGGGATTTTGGCTATATTTATTCAAAGGAGGCGTAAGCGTGTATCTTTACAGAAGCAGCAAAGAGAGCCGCTTGGGAAACGTGCGTGGCGCGGCTGGAATAAACCACAGACTGTATAAAAACATAAACACAAGCATTGTGGCCCCAATCAGCTTCAGTGACCGTATCAGAGCCACACTGCACCGCAGACGTGTGCAGTGTAAACTGTCTAAGCATTAATGGTAGAGAAAGCCCCTTATACTGGAGAGAGAAATTGACACATTTCCATTAGGCGCATTTTCAATTCGCAATTTCAATTTGCGCAATTTGAAGGGCAATGGAAACGCGCCTACTGTCTCAGCAATGGATGCTCTGCAGTGAATGGGTGCCGTCAGAATGAGAGTCCAAACAGCTGATAAAAGAAACAAATCCATCAAGACCTTTTTCAAACTGTTGCTTCCGGCTAAAATCCATAATCCATAATAACGCTTCCTCCAGTGAAAAAGTGCATCTCCTGTTGTCTCTCACATCAAAATCCAGCCACATATTTGTTTAGAGCTGTTTTGGCTTGTAAACGGTGCTTGATCTGTACAGATTTCTCTCCTGATTCAGACCAGACCACTTTTTTACTGGAGGAAGCGTTATTATGGATTATAGACTCGTATTTTAGACTGAATAAATGATTTGAAGGTAAAAACGTCTTGATGGATTTGTTTCTAACAGCTTTTGTCTTCACAAGACGTTAACTGATGGACTGGAGTGCTGTGGATTACTTGTGGATTATTGTGATGTTTTTATCAGACTCTCATTCTGACGGCACCCATTCACTGCAGAGCATCCATTGCTGAGACACTGATGCAATGCTACATTTCTCCAAATCCGATGAAGAAACAAACTCATCCTAATCTTGGATGAACTGAGGGTGAGCACATCTTCAGGTCATTTTCATATTTGGGTGAACTGTTCCTTTAAGATTAACAATTGGTTTGATGTGATTATTTTGCTATTTTTTGAGTTCAGTTATTTGTTGTGATCATTATTTTGCAAAGGGACAATATTGCAATCCTAAATTAAAAAGGAACATACCTCATTGTAGTAAGGGCAGTTGGTCGACTCCTTCATTGAGGTGTATTTTTTTTCATCACCAATTTCTACACACACCACTGGATCCATGTTCAGACCCACCAGCTGTCTGGCCTCAATAACAGTGACACTAACCTGGAAAGTGGGGTATTACACACAAATATGTGGTACTGTATGTGGACGGTATTCAAAAATGTCTGTATGATACAAAACTATAGGGTTAATATGTCTCAAATGCTGTAAGAGCTAGTCTGTTCACTAATACCACTTTTCTTTACCATTGTTTTTGAATCAGCAGATGTTTTGTGATTTTTAGTCTTACACAATGTATGAAGTTCACACCGGTGTCCTAAGCAGAAGATCCACAGGTGTAGCTCTTCATTTTAACTATCAACATGTTCCACTAACCACAAACACAATACTGACCGTCTTCATTTTCAACACTACTTCTATTGTTTTAACAAACATTGTGTGAAATGTGTAGCTTTTTTTTCTTTACAAAAAAATCTCTTTCTGTCATCAATGACAATTTGCCGTTCTACATACTTGGAAATCAACTGGTCTTCCAGCACTAGGCTCAATCTTGATGTCAGGCTTTGATCTAAAATAATTACGACATTTTTGGATGGAAAAAAAAAAGTAGAAGTTGATCAACATACAATGTTAGAATATGGAATATTGGCATTTAAGTAATATTTAACACAACATAAAGGTAATACAGCATATCAAATTTGATTTGGAATCATGTGACTGGAATAATTTCTGGTCACCTCTTATTGGAGACATTGGTTGTGACGGCAGTGACTGATGCGAGTGAGATGGTGTCAGGGTCTGGCATCCTCATATCCTCCGTCTCTAGGATGGCCGGCTCATCTTAACAAGTCAAATATGATGAGATGTCATTATGAACATTATGGACATTCATTATGTATATATATATATATATTTTCAATAAACAAGTTATTTGCAATAAATAAAGGCTACATTCACATAAAATGTTTTATATCATTTATTAAATGTATTATTATATAATATGACATAATTATTGAAATATATTAATTATTCACTATAAATAAAACTGAACTAATTATGTTAAAGAATTTACAATAATGTACAAATTTCCACACAATTAATAAAATCTTTCACCTTGACCTTTGCCATCATTCTTGGAGGCTCGATGCTTGCTACGCTTCATTGTCAGGAATTTGATTTATCCTCTTGGTATATGAATGTTTTTGAAAATGGAAATGAAAAATTAATGTTAAAAATCTCTCAATTTAAATGCAACGGTAATGTCTTTGCAACTCCATTTCAATCAGCCAGGAATCCAAAAGCAATTAGCCTTTATTAATTAACTAAAGTTTATTACCCTAACCCGTCAATAATTAGCAGATACATGAAGAATTTATTTAGCACTGAATTAATTTGCATAAGTAGCATAATTATCTAAACAGACAGGTGCATCTACAACTGACAGATTACCTTTAAATAAGCATGCTGAATGTTGTAAATGAGCAAGAAAGAAAGAAAAAGAAAGAAAGCATATTCAAGTCTGAGAATTATATATGCTTAGAGCTAACTGATGCAATCAAAACAGAGCTAATGGATTCTGTGCAGACCAACCAACAGTTTTTATTAGTTTCTGGTAGTTATTTTCTTTCTTAAATTCTTTCTTTTATGATGAAAATATTTCCATTGCAAGATATTTTTGGATAAACGAAACTTTTTTCACTGAAACATCCTCAAAAAATTCCACAAAAAAGTGAATTTTGAACATCCTGATACATTTCTGATTATGTTTAATGTTTTCATTAATACACAAAACACCATAACAGTAAAGCCAAATCTGAAAGCCACTGTCATTAAGTTAGATATGATTGCAATACTTGGTTTTCCATGACACACAAAGCAAACAAAAGACTCATATGCAAAGTCTGATGAAATCCTGAAAACTTACCGTACAGGGCAGCTGCTTCTCTGCTTCCTGAATCACATCTAGGAGTTTGCAGGAAAGACAAAGCGATTCCGATATCAAGATGTCTTTAAAATAAATAGTTTACAAACTCATTATTGACACTTGGATGACAGAAACAGAGAGGCCACAAAAGTCACTCAAAAAGAGTCTGGTTTGGTCTAATCCTGAAGATGGGCAGGAGAGATGTGATATGGCCATGAATAGTGTATGAGTGCTGAACCCGAGACACTGGTAACTAGAACTAGCTCCTGATGGGAGAGATCGCGTGGGATTTTGACAGGCTACTACTCTAGATGTCCTCAGACTAACAAAGCAGGTAAAAACCAGCACGTAAACTGCAGGAGCAACAAGGTTGTATCGAGAGTTTGAAGGCAGTGTGAGCATAATGCCTCTCACCAGTGATGGGCTACATCTAAACTAATTATACTACATTCAAAAAGACCAAAGTTTCCATAAGATTTGGAGGAAATGGCAGTGCAGTGTGCTGACTTATTTCAAATGGTACGTTTTACTTCAAATACAAGCTCAGTCTCTATAAGCTATTACTTAATATAAATCTGATTCACATAATAAAACTGTGAAAAAAAAAAAATCACTGACGCTTTTTTGCAGTGTACTTGTTACACGTCACGACTACCAGTCAAAAGTTTAAAATAATTCATTTTTTATGTTTTTGAAAGAAGTCTCTTCTGCTCACCAAGGCTGCATTTATTTCATCCAAAATACAGTAAAAATAATATTGCTGTTAATTATTAATTGTTTCCTGTTTGACTATACTGTAAAATATAAATTATTTCTTAGATTCCAGTCTTCAGTGTCACATGATCCTTCAGAAATCATTATAATATGCTATTATCATTGGTGCTTAATTATTAATAATGGTTCCTATTATTCTCAATGTTGAAAACAGTTTTTGCTGCTTAATATTTTTGTGGAAACTGTGATACGTTTCAGGTTTGTCTGATGAATTCAAAGAACAGCATTTATTTGAAATAGAAATCTATTTCTAAATAAAGTAAATGTCTTTACTGTCACTTTTGATCAATTTATTCAGTTCTTGTTGAATACAATTATCTATCTATCTATCTATCTATCTATCTATCTATCTATCTATGTAATTATTCCAAACTTTTGACTAGTAGTGTACTTACTAGAATAATAACAGTAAATTATGCAACTAACCACAATCTAAACCCTATAGTAAGTACATGTTATTTAATATTACTCTGTACTTAAAAGTATAATTACTGTAACAATGTTCAAAATCTCAAAATAAATAAGCAAGAATTCTTTGATTCTTTATTTCTACATTCCTTTTTTGTCTCTCACTTGGTACAATATTCTATTAAAAATGTTATTGTTTAAACATATATACGCAAGAGCTGGGTCTTGCATGCAACTGCAAAGCAGTCAGTGTAAAATGATCAAATATAAAGTTTAATCTTGCACCTCATTGCTCACAGTCGAGCATTTGAGTGTAATATCCTTGCCAGATTGAGAAAATTAACCTGTTTAATGGTCCAGCAGGTGAAAACGGTACGTCTAATCACTCATTGATTAAAATACAATTTTGCATCATATCATACTATCTTAAAGACAAAACACCTGCGAGATGCTTGAACAGAAGCGTGTGTAATTGTCAGGAAACAAATAAAACTGACTCTGGCTTAAATAATTGATAATGACTTGTTCCAACTGCAACTTGTATACTAGCTGAGGGCATGTAGCTTTGGTAACCCAGTAGTGTCATGTGGTCATCTACAATGCTAATTTACTGAAATGTGATACTGGTTCAACTGCTTATTCATGACGATCCAAAAAAATTGTCTAAAATATTGAACAGTACAAAGACCATAACAACACTACAACTCTTGAAGAGAAAAAGTGCATCAATCGCTACAGGTATTTACAGATGTCTATGTCTACATTTCACTGACTCCTAATAATAAGTTCTGCTTACATGTTGGAAATGATCAAATGTGCATGAAGCAAAACACCTGCAAGTCCTTTTGAAAAGTCAAACTAAAGTAATCAGCTCATGCATAAGACATGCTGTTTGTAAGGTATACGTTTAAGGTCTAAAGTTGCCTGTATCAGTAAAATGTCTTAAATTATTAAATGGTGCCAATCAGTGTCGCATGCGTTATCCACAATGAGCATGCATCATTTGTATCGTCTTGATAGATATTTTTGAATCATTAGCCAATAAAACAGGATGATTGTATACTGACTGAATGCTCTACAACAACATTTTGTTTGTATAAGTTTTTAGTATGTAGATTTTACTTTGTAGATAAGACCTCCTCTTTAAAGGAACAGTTGACCCAAAATTTAAAATTTGCTGAACAATTACTCTCAGGCCGTCCAACATGTAGATGAGTTTGTTTCTTCATCAGATCTGGAGAAATGTAGCATTGCATCACTTGCTCACCAATGCAGTGAATGGGTGCCATCAGAATGAGAGTCCAAACAGCTGATAAAAACATCACAATAATCCACAAGTAATCCACACCACTCCAGTCCATCAGTTAATGTCTTGTGAAGAGAAAACCTGCATGGCCAAAATAGTCCATAATCCATAATAACGCTTCTTCCAGTGAAAAAGTGCATCTCCTGTTGTCTCTCACATCAAAATCCAGCCACATATTTGTTTAGAGCTGTTTAAACGGTGCTTGATCTGTGCAGATTTCTCTCCTGATTCAGACCAGAACACTTTTTCATTGAAGAAAGCAACATTATGGATAAAGTTTGAAGTTAAACACACCTAAATGATGGATTTGTTTCTTACAAACACACAGCTTTTCGCTTTTTGTGTTGCATTTTTGCATTTTGTACACAGAAATATTCATGGTTCCTTGAATAAACTGAACAAAACATAGAGGTTTGAAATGCTCTGTAGCAATTGATTGTAATACTTGATGATTGCTTTGCTGTCATCAGAGTTTCACACATAGGAAAAATGTATTGCTCGGTGGTTGCTTTTCCTAAGCTCAGGAGACTTAGATGAGATTCTCATATATCTCTCATTTTAGTACCAACAGCATTTCAGATGTTTCTCCTAAACTTTCTTAGGAGAAACAGAAGTAGACACAACTGAGACATGAGGAATATTTGAGAAAAAATCAGTCAACACTGAGAATGTGGTGGAAGAAACAGAATATCTCTTTATTGTCTTGCTGCAATCTCTATCAAGACTCCATTATAGGAATATTTTATTGCTCAGAGTTTGCTCTTTCTAAACTCAGGAGACTTAGTTGTGATTCTCATGTATGTCTCAGATGTTTCTCCTAAAAGTAGGAGAAATACAAGTAGACACAACTGAGACATGAGAAATATCTGAGAGAAAAATGAAAGTGGACTGTGAGAAACATGGGAGATCTCTTTATTGTCTTGCTGTAATCTCTTTCAAGACCCCGTTATAAAAATGTTTTACTGTTCAGAGGTTGCTCTTTCTTTTTTTCTTGATTACATTGGGGTTGTTCACCTTTAATGGTCAGGACAGTAGGAGTAGAGACAGGAAACAATTGGACAGGTGAGAGCTGGGATTTGAACCCATGTTGTCTGAGGTGCAGTTGTGTCTTCACATCGATGTGCTGTCCACAAGTCTATGGCTCTGACAGGTTACTCTATGCTCAGGATACTAAGGGCTGATTCTCTTATGTCTCAATGAGATAATCAGCTTTGTCTTAAGATGTCTTCAATTTTATTTTAGGAGTTAAACGTTTACCAATATACTATATAGTTTAAATAGTATTAAACATGTCAGAATATCAAGGGTTACTAGTTTATATTTATCTTCAATGCCCAGGCAGCATTGTATATACAGCACATTTCCCAAGACTTATATAAGCGCAAGATGTTTAGTATAAGATCAATACTTTCTTTTTAACAAATGTAACACTAGTGTACAGGCACGGTTCAACCGGGGTGCTAGAGAGAGCTCAAACGAAATCAATAGCACCCTCAGTTAAAGCTGTAATAATAGCATTTCATGGCAAATTTGGCAAACTATCCAGTGCATTATGGTTTGCACTCTGGAGATCATGTGTTTGTGCAGCGTTGAGCAATGTAGCCAATCACAGACATATCTGTTGATTTCTTGAACACAACAGACAGTCAGAGGCTTTCAAGTTAGAATCCACTCACCGCTCAAATCGCTGAAGCTTTTGTTCAGGTGTTGTGTTCGGCACGAATCATCTCATTACAACAAAGTGTAGACG